GACCCATGGCGGTGGCAGAAAGAGGGTAAAATGATATAATAGCAAAAGAAAGCAATGACACTGCAACGTTGATAGATTTGATGAAGGGAATCATTTGTCAAATGTAGATGGTGTGTAGTGAGGAGCAATTTCATGTTGCAATAGAAAGCATGAACTCCTAGAACAACAAAGAAAATAAGCAATCTCAGCAGATAAGGAAACATTTGTGGACAAAATGTAAGTTTCGTAGAAATCAACATGGATAATGAAGTGAATAAATGTTATTAAGGTACCATTGGTCAAAGAAACTCATCGTTAGGATGGGTAGATCCACTAAAAATAGATAATTATAATCTGGTCTACATGTATAATATGTTGTAGAACAGATAATTATTGAATGGATGAAATAGTATATATTGTTGAATGGATAAAGCTGTTGATATCTCGTGGATAGAATAAGGTATTTCTCTCTAATTTTTTTAAGAGCTAAGGTGAACAAAAAATACTAGATGAAAAAATACTTATTATTTTATTCCAAATTTTAGTTGTTATGGAGACTTGGGTCCACCTATCACCCTTGGACAGTTTTTTTCCCATACTTCTCTGGCCCACTATGATAGTGCTTCAACCCTCCAAAGTCCAAGTAAGCTCAATATTATTTTATATATCAAACAAAATTGAACTTAACATAACCCACTGCTAGAGTTTTCACAATGTACCTAGTTAGCTTCAAATTCTAAAGCCTTGTTTGGAAAGGGATTTTCTACCAAAAAATTTCTACTTTTTTATTGAACACATTTCTCAATCACCTTTTTACCTTACATATATCAAATCGTTACAGTTTATTTTCTATAAAAACTCTAGAAAATTACAATCCAAACACAACCTAAATTTTTTTGGATTATGTAACATATAAGAAAGCGTGAATGCACACCCAAAAAAAAGCAACTAAGCACGCTATTATTTTATATATCATACAAAATTGGACTTAACATAACCCACTGCTCTAGTTTTCACAATATACTGACTTCTTGTAATCAGCTCTAAATACTAAATTAAAAAAACAAAACTTAGTACTATGTTACATAAAAGAAATCTTGAACACACAGAAAAAAAGACATTAAATGTGTTTGCTAGTTACCTCTCTTTAGACTCTTCCATAGTGCGTTCTCCGACTCCATTGCCAATTCGTCACTACCAGCGTCGATCTCAGATTGATAACTTCCACACATAATTTTGATTTGGTTTTTTGTTGAACAAATTCGGTCCTATTTTCTCTACACTTCCCACTATTTTTTTACTTCTCTTCACGCCAATTTGCCGTCCAGCATCTACTCCCGTGCATCCCCCATTTTTTGGGTACATAGAACATGCTCGCAACTTGTCCAAGGATATAATATTCATTTACAATGACTCTGTTTGGATTCCCTATTTTTTGAATAACAAGTTTCTCATATACAATACTATAGTACACAAATAAAAATAACTTCAAAAACACAACATCTATACAATATATTAAAAATAATTCCAAATATACAAAAAAATTTGAAAATAAAATCTACACCATCTTCTTCTTTCATCTATCACCACCACACATCACCTCCAACACCACCCATCATAGCCACCATCCTCTTCCTTCCTCCTCTTTCCTTTCCTTACCTTTTCCTCATTTTCTTTCCTTCTCTTTCCTTTCGCTCTCTCTTCCTCCTTTCTCTCTTTCCTTCTCCCCTCCTTTCATGACTAGAGGCCTCGATCTAGTCGAGGATAGATCGGGGAGAGAAGGAATGGGGAGTGGCAGGAAAAAGGAAGGGCAGAGGGGCAGGGAAGGGGAGGAGGAAGGAAGAGGGAGAAGGGGAAGAGGAAGACGGAAGGGAAAGAGAGAGGAGGAAGGAGGAGGTGATGGGTGGTAGTGTTAATTTTTAAAAAATATCTTTAAAAGTTTTTAAATTTTAAAAATACCCCAAAATATATTCCAAAAACACCTTTGAAAACATCGCAACAAATATTTTTCATATATATTATTAGAGTAAAACATTTTAAAAACACACCAAAAAACAATTAATAATCTAGACAGAACCATAGTTCACATAATATAGTGGGTCCCATGTTTAGAACTCCTTCTGCCTGGTCTTCGGTAGCTATTTCTCTCAAATGTCCCTTGCTTGGCTTATGATCATGTGTTGTCCTTGTCCCTTTTGTTCTTCCTACCGTGCAAAGCTGACTCAGTTTTGCACCATAGAGCAATCCAAAATGGAGCCATCCATCAATCAAATAGAAAAACGTTAGAGAGTTAGAGACCTAATGATTTTGGCACGCTATGATTTTATATATCATACAAAATTGGGCTTAACAAAATCCATTGCTCTAGTATTCACAATATGTTGACTTCTTGTAATCAGCTTCAATTACCGAATTAAAAAAAAAAAACTCAGCACTATGTTGCATAAAAGAAAGCATGAATGCACAAATAAGAAAAAGACATCAAATGCATCTGCTAGTTACCTCTCTTTAAACTCTACCACAGTGCGTTCGCCGACTCCATTGCCAATCCATCACTACCGGTGTCGATCTCAGATTGATAACCTCCCATGCTTGCCTCCTTCCTACTAACAACTACAATATATAGTGGAAGAAAATGTCACTGCACCTTGTTGTCGGTTTTTTTTACCCTCTCATTAATGCATGGTCTTTAATAATTTATTTACTATCGGCTTCAATTTAGACGACTAACCAATTCTAGCATGAAGTCCCCCACTTTTTCCTGTTTGGGGATATTAATTTATTTGGGACTTTCCTTCACACATAAATTTTCATCTTTTTGCCCCTCTAACTGAATTTATTTATCATTCATTCACATTTACTTTATCATGCATATTTTCAAATTAAATGAGAAGACAGGAAGACTTTAAATTTCTTGAACAATACTCAACACAATTTTATTTATTACTACATTTACTACATGGTTTACAATCAGCGTAATTATATCTATTACCACTCCCCATCGGGAAATTCATTCAATGTGCACTTCTTACTGACATTTACTCATATTCATGCATAATTTTCGGTGGTACAAAACTATAGTTCTAGAGTTTTGTGTGATTACATTGATTTCAATTTAAAAAAAATACAATCTTCATTCCATTATTAAATTAGACACCAAGAAACTAAAATTATGATAAACATTGTACTCCAAGAATTATGATTCTACAAGATGTATCACAATCGTTATTCATTTCAAGGCTTTGAAACCAGAATCAATATTGTAGATGAGTAATCGCAAGTATAATTGAAAAATTTGTTTTAAAAACAAAACTAAAATTGTGGGTGCCTGATCATAAACACAATTGACATAGAGAACATGAATATATGTTTGAGGGAGAATGTAAAATGTCCCTTTCAATTTGAGCAAAAAATGATAGATGACTAATGATAAATCCAATTGACATAATGAACTTGAAACCGGAAGAGAGATTGGATATGTTTAATACACGTGTGAGGCAAAACATGCTTCAGATGTTATTCATCATGAAGGTGAGATGTTGTCACTCAATTAGGAGTTGAGATTAAAACTGTTGATAAGTAACAATTACAAGTGTAGTTTTGTTTACAATAGTGATAAAACAATTGTAACAGTCTTAATGAAATTAGAATTGGACAATTGCCATTGCAAGGTGTACATTGGACTCAATATCGGCTTAAAAATCATTATGTCAACTATGTAATTATGTTTGTGAATGAAATTCACTATGTTAATTATATTCGTGATTACTTATCCAAAATCACGAATTTTGATTTCTTTAAATACTATGTTAATTATATTTATGATTACTCATCTAAAATTTCGATTCCTATTGAAAAGCCATTATGTCAATTATGTATATATTCACTCACCTGCATCAACTAACAATGCAGTTTAAATCAGCATAACTCTTTTTTTAAGTGAACATTTAGAGTTTAACAATCTTGATTTGTGATCATACATATGATTTTTTTAGACTAATTTATGTATCATTACCATATATAATCTCTTTTGTAAAATATTTATAATAAAAAGTTTTTCATATGAATTGTTATAATAAAATATTTTAAAAACATCTTGACAAACAATTAATAGTCTAGACTAGAAATGGCAATGGGGACGGGTGCCCGCGGGTGCCCTCCCTGCGGGGGGCTCACGGGGCCGGGGTTGGGGCGGGGGCGGGGGGGAATTTTTTCCCCCCGCTTAGAAACGGGGCAGGGGGCGGGGGTATACTCCCCCGCCCCGCCACCCGCAAAAAAAAAAAAAAAAAAAAAAAAATATATATATATATATATATATATATAATATGACTATATATTATATGTAAGTTAATTAGTTATAAACTTATGATAATGATATTATTAGTTAGATGTATTATATAATGTATATTAGTTTATGTAATATAATTGATATTATTAATTATATGAATAATTATACATGTCTACTAATAGAATTTATTAATTAGTTATACTAAATTTACTAATACATTTATACTAAATTTCTAATTACACTTAATAGAATAACACTTTTTTCTCAAAAAAAAGCACAAACACAATGATGAATTAGTGATTGCATTTGTACTAAAAGTGAAAATTTGACTATTTTAGTTATATTTATTTCATCATATTGGATTGTATTCAAATAACTTCTGTTTGATTGTTTTTATGAGTTTCAATTGTAAAATTACAATGAATAATAATTTGGTGATGTGTTGATATTTTAGTACTTGATTATTTATTAAAATTTAATTATAATAAAATTATATAATAAAATTTTATTAACCCCGCGGGTGCCCCCGCAGGGGAAGCAGGATAAGGCGGGGCGGGGTCGGGGCGCGGGGAGCGGGAGGCAGGGGACAGGGCGGGGGACGGGGGGAACTAATAGGCAATGGGGCGGGGTTGGGGCGGGGGACCCCGCCCCGTTGCCATCCCTAGTCTAGACGGAGCCATAGTTTACATGGTATAGTGGATCCCATGTTTAGAACTCCCGTTTTCCTCAGCCGTCCATCTGCTTGGCTCATGGTCATGTGCTGTCGTCGTTCCTTTCGTTCTTCCTACAGTACAAAGCTGACTCAGTTTTGCACCATAGAGAAATCCAAAACGGAGCCATCCATCAATCAAATAAAAAAACGTCAGAGTCAGAGATCTAATGATTTTGGCACGTGATCCAATCCTTTCAATTTACAGTTACTGAAAAAGACGCCATTTTCCCATCTCAACGGTACTGTATCATCACTCTCACTTCAGACAAATACACCATATCTGCATTTCGCATTCTACTCTGAAATTCCACCACGAGTTCAAGCATCACTGAAATTCTCAGAATGGAGCTACTCCATTGCCCTTCAGCAATCCCAGTTCGCAATTGCACCCCAAAATTCACGAACGCCTCGAAGAATTGCGCGAATTTGTTCGGAAAGAGATTAAATTCGGTGAATTTGGGTAGTATTTTGGTGAAAATTTTGGACAAAAATGCGGGAAGGTGTTCTTCAGGGGTTGTGGTTAATGCGAGGAGTGGTGATGGCGGTGGTTTAGAGACTGGAGCGGATACTGCCATTGTGGTGGAGAAACCTCCGGCAAAACCGAGTCTTTTTGAGGTGTTTGATGGCTATCCGTTGCCGTTTGGTGCCACTTCTCGGGATGGTGGTGTGAATTTTGCGGTTGCTTCTGGCAGTGCCACGTCAGCTACTCTTTGCTTGATTCGTCTCTCTGATCTGCCTGAAGTAATTCTTCCAATTGTTGCAATTATGGCTGTGTTTATTGAATTAATTTGCTTATTTTATATTCTTAGAATTGTCTGTGTGTGTTTTTTTTTGGTGAATTATGTTTATTAGATGCTGCACTTGATAATTTATAGTTTCTAAATTATATTCTGCTGGGTATTGCAACTTGGATTACTGTATCTGTTGCAGAAAAGAGTTACTGAGCAAATCTTTTTGAGTCCGATAACGAATAGGACTGGAGATGTCTGGCATGTGTTCTTGAAGGGAGATTTTCAAGACATGCTCTATGGTTACAGATTTGATGGGAAATTTTCTCCTCAAGAAGGACATTACTTTGATTCTTCTCAAATATTAGTGGATCCATATGCTAAGGTTAGTTTGCGGCGAATGTGGATATGGTTATTGCACTTTGCTTTCATGGTACATAAGATAGCTTTGTCTATGATTTTTTCTTTGAGTGGAATATGGTGCTAATGTTTTGTTGGCATTTGTGCTAATGTTTTGCTGAGTGGCTTTCAATTTCATTTCAGGCTGTTGTAAGTAGAGGGGACTATGGTGCTCTTGGACTTGAGGATGAATGTTGGCCACCAATGGCCTGCATGGTGCCTTCTCTTACTGACAAGGTAGTTAGTTTGTACTTGTAATGATATGACTTAGATAGGCAACACCCGAGGATGTTTATTAACCCTGCAACTTTGGTTATACTACTGGATGTAATTAACTGACCAGTTCTGTATCTTTCAACCTGAGCTGCGTAATTATGGTTATAGGACGCAAACTGTATTATTACCATGATGTTGAAGATTCATTCCTTTATCTATGAAGCGTTTTTCACGATATTTAGAAGAGCAATGTGTGACAAAGTGCAAGGTCTTTTAGATGCGTTTCTTGAAGCTTATTTCCAATTAGCTCAAAATGGTGTATTTTCCATAGTATTGTGCAATTCTACATAAAAAAGGGCATTCACTTAAATTCCACATGTTTAGTCATAAATTATACTTATAAATGCTAGTAAATATTCCAAGTCTAATGCCACAAAGTTCATGGCAATCTTCAAAAAGAAGCAATGAGTAATTTGTACATCAAAAGACTCCCAGTTTGATGAGAAATTCAAAATAATAAATAAGGAAGAGATTATAGGGGGAATAGTAACAGGAACGAGAAAAGAAGTGGAGGCGGGGGATAGCAAATAAGGAATGCAGATGTCAACTTTACAGCTCTTATATTTTTGTCCCCATGTTTTTGTTTAAGATTATAATCAGACAACCAGAGAAACCAGTGTTCCAAGATATAAGTCAGTTTCATCTAGTTGTTTCATTGACTAAGAAGAACAGATTGAAAGAAAAAGCATACATGCCAATTCTGCACAACATAATCACCAAAATGTGTATTTGATTCACTAAAGTGCAGGTGCATTACACTCCACAGAAGGTGGAAAGGGCTCTTCCCTCTTCATATCCTTCAAACATTTGAACCATTATTCTTTGGGTCAAATCAGAAGATGTTTGTGCTTTTCTGATGGAGTAGGTTTAGTATTGCCCTTCCCTTTAAGTATCACACTATGGTAACAACTAGTCTATTTACTCTTAAACTCTTTTTGCGTATCCTATGCTCTTAACTACTCTTGGTGGAAGTCAGAAATTGGAGGATTGAGGGTGTGTGCCAAAGGTCATGATTTGGTTTTTCCCCAAGTGCCCATAGTTTGATTTCAGGACTTTATATTATTTTGTTTGCATTTTTCCTACTCTCTTCTGTGAGTGTTTGCTTCTTTTTCGTCTTTTCGTGTTTTAGATGGGATTGAGACAGCAAATTGTTTGCTCTGCAATCGAAATTTTATAGGCAGATTTCCTTTATCCCATTTTTCCTTCTTCTCTTTGTTTCCTTATGTTGTCTTATATATCAGAAAGAACTGGTTTCATTTTGATGTTGACATTTATCTGAAAATTGTTTTTTTCAGTTTGATTGGGAAGGTGATTTACCCCTGAAGTTTCCTCAGAGAGATCTGGTAATATATGAAATGCATGTTCGTGGATTTACAAGGCATGAGTCAAGTGGAACAGAATTTCCTGGTACTTACCTCGGTGTCATTGGAAAACTAGATTACTTGAAGGTAGATACCACTGGATTACATTGTTAAGTCTTGAATCCTTCCAAGAAATTGGGGTTTAAGGAAGCTCAAAATTTCTTCTACTTCTTCACATAAATTTATTCAGCAAAAGTGAATAAATTGTGCATAGTGTTGCCAGAAACATGTGAATCTTGCTTTGATGTTAAAATTTTGCTAATCAACCAATGTACACTTTTTTTGGGTAAAAGCTGATATGTTAAATTCGTTTATCGTGAAGGAATCTGTGGTTCTCTCCTTTCATGATTGTGGATGAGCTAGATATGTTGCCATGTTCAGTCCAGTGTGAAACAGCATCTGGTGGAATCTAGGTTGGGTGGTTCTGGATGTGAATGGGGTAGACAGGTATCGTTGTCTATTCTGATTGACTATTCTCGCCTCCAGAAGAGATTGAGAATCAGCATACAAATTTTAACACTAGGTATATGTTCATCTAGTCATGATAGTGTGCCCTTCAAGGATATCATAGTAAGCTAGATGAGAAAGAAATGGTTTTTCTTTCTGTATGGAAGAATAAAAAGATAATATAAGTTGCTAGACAAAACAAACATGAGTCAACGAAAAACTATAAAATTTGAGGATTTCTTTGATAATAACAAACATAAGGTCTTTTGTTGAGATCCAAATAATTCCTATCCTTACAGTGTCTAATTGCTAACTTATATTTAACCTGAGAATACATTGTGTTTCTGTAGATACTTCAATTTGTTTGATTTAATTTTTTTTAATTTATTCTTAAAGCATCTCCTATCATAGTATTTGATTTGGACGTTGAGGATTAGTTTCATCAGACTTTTAGACATCAAGTGAAAACATATGCTGAAAGTAATCAAACTATACATATTAATAATCAGACATTATATTTAGCAATCAAATGATCCTGATTGATTAGAAAACTGCTGAATTGATTCAAGTGTTACACCTTCTAGAAAAGTAATGACAGATGGGTAGCATTGATGTGGCCTTTGCTAAGATGGCAGTTGATACAAGTTAGCAGTAGGTCAGAAAGAAAGTTTTGGACTTCATGGAAACTGTTTTGCTGCTTTACTTATATGTTTTTTTTTGGGGCAAAGATGTTTTTCTGGGATCAAGGAAGAACTGATTGCTGTATTTTTATCCATTGTTGAATACTATACTGGGCTTACACAGACTGTGTTATGATTTCACTGTTTTTGGGTGAAAATCATTTAGGTGTCCCCAATTCCTTGGTTAGAGAATTTCTGTCTGAAGTTGATAAAATGATAGAATCTTGCATTAGTTGTAGAATGTCAATTTTGTCGAGGAAATTGAGTACTTTGGAGATACCCATGGCAGGGAATCCATTCACTTGTCTTGGGTCCTGTTAATCTAGACAAACTGGAAGCTGAAAAAAGAAACTGATTAAAATGCTTTTTAGTGCATTTTTTAAGGGGTTCGCATTCATATCCAGAAGAAAACAAGAAGGATAGGTTGTTGTGGAACTCAATTAGTTATACTACATTTTTTGCCATTAAAGAAAGCTTCTAATATGGCATGAATCCTTGGTTTTGGATGGTTGCAAGTCTGTAAATTCAAAGGACTGATCAATATTTTTTGTATGCATGTACTTGTAACTCTACAAAAGAGTGAGTTGTGCAGATGTTTGGTTTTCTGCAAAGTAGCTTGAGCTGTGTAATTGGTGAGAACTACCAAAACGTTTTGTTTGTTGATATTGTAGATGTAGTATCAGAAATAGCATTAATTTATCGTTAGGGGAAGCACTTCATTCAGGTCTCTGAATTTTTTCAAAACATCTAGGAGTCTGCCTAATTTCTAGCAAACAATAGGTATGAACTGATGAATTGGTATCTTTTTCATAATGTTGTACACAGCTTTTGAAGATCTGACCTTTATGATTACTCGCCATGGCTTTTATCTAGCTTTCATCTGTTTTACCTATTTATGTATTATTTGAACTTAAAATCTTTTGGTAAACAATCTTTTCAAGCATTTTTTTGAATATGCCTTCATGTTCTTTCTTGCAGGAACTTGGTATCAATTGTATAGAGTTAATGCCATGTCATGAGTTCAATGAGTTGGAGTATTACAGCCATAATTCCATCTTAGGCGACTATAAGTAAAAAATTTTTGCAATTCTTTTCAATATTATGCACATCTCATTGTTTTTATACTTTTTTCTCAATGTTCATGAGATTTTCATTTCTCAGTGTGATTTGACGTGAATGATCCTATTAATGCATGTCACTTGGTGAAGTTTGTGTGAGAGAAAGATGGATTAAGATTAAGAATGAATTCCCTCTTTGTAGATTTTGATTTATGGATGCAGAACCCCCTGGAATTGTGTCTTTTGATAATAAGTAGATATAATTGTGTATGATCTTGCTAAATTGAATGGTTTCTTTTTCTTTTGTTATTGGAAAATGAGAACTTTAACCAATGATTTTAGTAGCCTTAAATTTACTAAAAAGGTTGTTGACTTTTGCTGTTTCAAATTTACTTGTCGTACTCTAAAATGGCTTCTATAATTGTAAAAGCTGTTGAGTAAATGTTTTTCAATTAGAGAAGTTTCACCTTTGAGGTACTGAATACTTTTGAATTTAGTGTCATTTGCAAGTGGCATCTTCTTAATGGATAGAGCACCTGTTTTGGGTCTTTAGTGAGCTTCTGCTTGATCTGAATTCTTGAGAAATAAACATGGGTGTCTACATTTAGCTTTGCGTCCTCATCTGATTTCGTATTCAGGATGAACTTCTGGGGGTACTCAACTGTCAATTTCTTTTCACCGATGACAAGATATTCTTCGGCTGGTGCCCTTAATTGTGGTCTTGGTGCCATAGATGAATTCAAGTGCCTTGTTAAAGAAGCGCATAAACGTGGGATTGAGGTGACAACTTAATTTACTTAGTGTGATATTGCATTTTTTTTTTATTGATTTTTAGCTGCTTTTTCTCTTACTTTAGTTTAACAGGTGATCATGGATGTCGTTTTTAACCACAGTGCTGAAGGGAATGAGAATGGTCCCATATTATCCTTTAGAGGTGTAGATAACAGTGTCTTTTATATGCTTGCACCAAAGGTATGCGTGAGCATTAATTTTGTTTGTCGATTGTTTTCTGATTTTAATGCCCATAAGAAGACTTTTGTTTCTTTGCCTTGGTAGACTTCAAGTACCAATGCCTTTAAGTTGCTTCTAAGCCTGTGCATAAGAAAAGGTCAAATTGCACATTGTCTGGAATTCTTCAATGGCTGACCTTGTGTCATGAATTCACTTATTCATGCAACGTATATTGTAAAACACCACCCATTATTAGAGGATAAGTTCCAATAATCTAACAACACAGCAGCTCACTAGAATGGTGCCTTATATTGGGTAGATCTGGACCTTCTCATGATTTTTGTTAGTTGCTACACAATGGCTTTCTTTTCATGCTAGTATTGTTTGGTGGCAGTTTGTTGGATGCATTTTTACTTAATCTTGCAAAAAAGGCTGCTAGCTTCTTTACTTTCTCAGCATATAACGAATAAGGCAATCTGCCTAAGTTTGTCAAAACCTAGTGTACTGAATTGCATTCATGACAGAACCATTATACTGGAAAGCAGCTCATCAGATTTAAAACTGGTTTGGCTTCTGCAAAGATCTCGCTCTAGGGCTCTTTTGTGCTGTTTTGCTCATATATGATTTTTGTTTACAGGATTATACCTTACTGGCTTTTCTGTTGTAAAATAAGCAAGCGTCTGTCTGCAAAAGCAAGATCATTGTGAAGTAACTGTAATATTTGGTTATGCAGGGAGAGTTCTATAATTATTCAGGTTGTGGAAACACTTTCAACTGCAACCATCCCCTTGTCCGTCAATTTATATTGGATTGCCTGAGGTAATATTACTATGCATTGTACCTTATTTGTCTATATTTGCAAATTAGTTAATTTGTTCTTTGTGCAATGAGATTACGGGTATTGCAATGAATCTTCCTCTACAGTTGATTCAACAAGTCGCTACCTGCATGTCTGTTTGGGTATCAATAGTTTTGTGTGTGTTTGGTCACGAGTGAGACACCATCCTCGAGCATAAACATGTGGTCTAAGATTTTGCCCTATGTGCACTAAATTAAAATTGAATATTGAGATTGAAACTGAGGGCAGCAAAAGAGTAGTGACAGTTTTGTAAAACCATCTTTGTCTTGCATAACAAAGAAAGACAACAGAAATTTTGGACTCGCATAAGCACTAGCTTTTATCATATCTACATTGTGATGGCAGCATAAGGCCTGGAGAAGCTGAAGATTGTACCTTGGCATGTCAATTGCAGGGTTTGGCTAGAAGTACTAAACTCAGGCCTTGTTTGATAACCCAGTTTAGTACTTAAATTTAATGGATTCAGATCTTAACATATTCAGACCGTTTGATAATCAAAAATTAAACATCTTAATTAATTAAGTGGCACTGAATTTCCTAGGCAAAACTTGCTCCCGAAATTAAGTGAAACTATTCACTTATCACTGAATGTGATATGCACTCAAATGTATTAGATTTAATATTTAACAATTCAATAACTTAATCGATTCAGATTTCAGACTTCAGTTTTATCAAACACACCCTCAGATTTGGAGCCATAAAATTTACTTTGACCCAATTCAAGACTGTGATTTCAGACTTGTAGGGCTCTAGATACCTACTGTGTATCCACAAGTGTCAATAATATTGTCTTAGTAAATTATAAGAACTTCAAAATTGTTTGAACATAGATGAGAACCATGAAAATATAAGCTTTGTTTCTATGTAAATCTAATAGAAGCAATGCCTTTGAATAACAGAACCATTCTGTGTTCAAGGATTATTCAAAAGCATAATTGTGATCTTGTGTTTTGTATATCTTATGGAAATTATTCTACTGGAAGTCATGTAAAGAAAACAAAAATAAGGATGTTTTAGTGTTCTCAAAAACCACTTTTAATAGATAATATTTGTTGAACAATGTAATATACTAGATGAAATTGCATTAAAGGATGTTTCTTCTTTTTATTAGTTGTCATGTACAGATACATCGACGACAACATGCACACACATGAATTAAATGGTTTTGGCTTTTCATATGTGTTGGGTTCGGGCCTCGTAGTATGGAGTTGGTATGCTGATGCCTAATTCTCGTTTGGGCTTCATGTCAAAGCAGGATAAAAGTATCTTGGATCCGAATAACAATTGATCCAGGAGATGCCTAAGTGTTGATTTCCTCGATTTTGTAGCTAGTAGTGGATATTTGGGTTTAATGGTATCTTGTGTTTTTTTTCTTTTGTTACTTGGAACTAAATGAGATTTGTTGTACCTGTTTGGGATAAAAGTGGCAATAAAGACTTTTAGTATGAGATTGATCTGTCTTTCCATCTGATTTCCTGTTTGATTATCTCAGACTGTTTGTAAACCCATTGAAAATATCCAGCAGGAAGGTGGTTCTTCAGATTTTCTTGAATTTTATTACGTTTCTGCCAAATCCATCGCAGTTTGCTGAACCAATGGCTAGCAAATTTATTTAGAACAATAATTCAAAGGGCTTATAAGGCTGGTCAGTCTTTTGTCACTGGTCAAGTGTGCTATTGGTAGCTTTGCTTACTGCTAACTACAGGTGCGGGGTTTAACACTGCTGTCTCCTTTCCTTATGTATCAGAAGGCTGCTTGGCCTATAACCTTAGGGATCAGCCATCACCAACTCATACATTCATAGACATAGAAGCATGGAACTCCTATCAGATTAGATGGGGCACTTGCCTCTTGTAAGATTTTAGACATGATACTACATGTTTGTACAATGTAGTTAGATGCTGTATCCTGTTAAATCATCAATGGAATTATATTCTGCAACAATTTATGATTTTAGTGCTGAAGTTAAACATGAATATAAAGCTTGTTTATCAGTTGTTTGTGCTCTTTCATCCTTAATATTCATTTGGATCCTGCTGTTTGCTTTTTCATTTTTGGATGCTCATTACCTTGACTTTTTTCTGCCTTAAATTTATGTAATTAACTCTTGCCAAGGCTTGTTTTCAGCTAAATGAAGAAACAAATCTGGCTTGAGCAACCACCCCACAGTTGGAAAACATATCCAAGAAATTATGTAACCTATGTTTTTAGATCAAATTTTCCCTTTTACTTGGAGAAGAAATTGCTAATGTTTTGTAGATCTCCTACTTAGAAGTACTCCCTTTATTTTTTTTCCCTGGCTAGTGTTGGGGAGGTTAGAATTAGCTTCATTGTGGAACACGTGCTTTCTCTCTCTCTCTCTCTCTCCTTTTTTTTTTGCATGTCGTCTGTTGTACCAGTATACTCCCATGATTATTCTATCTTTATCTTTTTCAAAATTCTGATATTTCAACAGATACTGGGTAACAGAGATGCATGTAGATGGCTTTCGCTTTGATCTTGCTTCTATCCTGACAAGAAGCAGCAGGTATTCTGCTATTCATTATGTAATGTTTAACTTATTTGGAGTATCAGTTTGATTTAGTATCTTCTTGCCCTCATCTTGTGATCTGCCTAGCCTCTGGGATGCAGCTAATGTGTATGGAAAGTCAGTTGAAGGTGATACTCTCACAACTGGTTCTCCTCTCAGCAGCCCTCCGTTGATTGATATGATTAGTAACGATCCAATACTACGTGGAGCAAAGGTAATGTGAGTTATTCTGTTCGTTAGTTTCCTTTTGCTTCTTTGACAAGGTTGAGAGCAAACAAATGAAATTTGTCAATAACAAACAAGTACTGGTTGAAACTAATGGGCTTTACTTATATTTGCTTCCTGCACGGTCATGACTAAAAAAGGAAACTGGAAATTTTTATGTGGCATAGGTTTTACTTAATTGTTTTTTAAGGTTAAGTAGTTCCATTTCTGCTAATATTTTCATAGACATGCATTTCAGCATGTTCAATTTCTAATCCTAGACTAACAGTCTGCTTGATCAGCTTATAGCTGAAGCATGGGATTGTGGAGGACTCTACCAAGTTGGCAAGTTTCCTCATTGGGGTATTTGGTCAGAGTGGAATGGGAAGGTTAGTGGATACTGTATGTCATTAATTGCTCATTATGTTAATTGATGTACTCTAAAGAAGATTTGGGTTATACACAAACAGTTCTTCGGTGAAAAAATAAATACTATGACCAAAACTGGTTTCCATGATATGCTCACCTGGAAGTAATTTAAAGTTGCTATGTTTAGGGAATGAAGGGCACAAGGATGATGTCTGAAATGAGACTTGCATATTTGGAAAATCGTTGCCATGTTTTAAGGGTTTCTAGTCTTCTAACACATTATCTCTGTTCCAGACTGCTGGTTAAACAAATGCTTTGTTTCTCTTTAAGAACTATAGCCCTCTGTGTGACTTCATTGAGAGTAAAGGGTAGCGATTAGCAGTCGGCCCAAATTCACATGAGGATTGGTTAAAGAATGGGCAGAGCTCACTTCTTGCAAGAATCAAGAATTGGAAACAACTGAAATCCAAAGTGTAACACATTAACCTAATTCTGGGAATGCACATGAGAGCTTTTTTAGTTACCCTGATAGCAACAGATGTTTGGCATTAACAAGTACTAGTGCTCCATTTATTTTTATTTTTATGTCTTTGTTCATCTACTTCATAAATAGGTCCAAAAGGTTGGACAGCTTAAAGTGATCTGCTAGTTGACATGTTGAATCTAGTTGTGAAAGTCCTATATTGCAGTTGAGTGAATTTGGCAGTCTATGTTGCGAAGCACCCTTGTATTTTTTTTTTCTTGTTATCTATTTTCGTTTTTGTAGTTAACGATTTCAATCTCATAAAGGGCCTCTTCTTTAGCATCCTATTGTGCTTGGTACCTGTGCTCTGTCTTTCTTTTGTTTCTCTTCTTCCTTTTGTCATTCTTTTGATTTTTGAACAATTGATCTGAATTCGGAGCTAAAATGTAACCTTTTCAGTACCGTGACACTGTGAGGCAGTTCATAAAGGGTACAGGTGGGTTTGCAGGAGCTTTTGCTGAATGTCTTTGTGGGAGCCCTAACTTATACCAGGTATGTATTTATAGGATTGTTTCGATTCATGGTAATAGTTTCATAGTCACAGTATGCAGTTCATGTCAGGCATTTTTGTGACCTTATAGTCAAGCTTACCTAATATCAACTACCGTGATATCTTACTTGATATACCTTTCTTAAATGGTCAATTAACAACTCAACAGTTCTATTAAAAGTTTCATCATATCTTGTCAATCTTTCTGACTTAAACACATGCGTTATTCATTTTGAAACAGGAAGGTGGAAGGAAACCATGGAACAGTATTAATTTTGTATGTGCTCATGATGGCTTTACTTTGGCTGATTTAGTGACATATAATAACAAACACAACACAGCAAATGGAGAAGATAATAAAGATGGGGAGAATCACAATAACAGTTGGAACTGTGGTCAGGTAAATGTCTGTTTTCACATATTTATCTTTGTAAAAAGATTGCTGCACTTTGCTATAAGTTCTGATAAATGATTGGTTTGTCTATATTCTCATAGTAATAGATATATGTTGCCCACAATGGCTACTCAAATACACTGAAATGATATTTTTTCTGATGATAAATCTTGTCATGCATTAAGTTATTTTCGCTGGGGTGGGAGCACGAAGGAGCCTTATTCCTGTTTTGCTTTTAGTTTATCAATAGCTCATTTCTTTATGTCAGAAAGTTTACTATATTAGAAATTGGTGCTTAGCAGTTGGTTTATTTGGCATCCAAATGTGTAGTTAAAGCATACAATTACACGAAGTATTCACTTGTAAAGTATGTATGAAAAGGATGTGTTATCAAGTTAAATTTTCATCATTAGCAGCTTGCAGCTTCTTGTGAAAGTATAACATTTTATCAAAGGTGATGCCCTTTTGAGGTTAATTTGGACATTTTGAGTTAATTAGAATGGTTTATGCATCTTTTGACTGCCACCCCTTGGGGGATGAAAAATGACTCTAGATTAGCTTTAGGTTAATATTGCAAGCTGGACCAGAAAATGGTTTCGTGCTGCTTGGTTAATCACTTTCAAGTATCTTTGCGAAGTCAGATTTAAGATATAGTTGAACTTCAAAAGGTGGGTCATAGGCACCATATCCACACCCTTTGAAGAAGTTAGTAGTTGTCTGCGTGGTTGATATCGATCTAGGTAAAAACATATAGGGTTATTTCTGGATGTGGTTTGACTGAGAACAACCAGGGAAAGGATATATTGTCAAATGTGGTTTGACTGAGAACAACCAGGGAAAGAATATATTGTCAACTGTAATTTAGGCAACATATCTCTTGTCCTTAGTACATCAATATATTCCTTCCTTAATAAAATTAATAGCAAGTGTTAACCTTGCATCTGAATTAGACTCCTTAAGTCATCCTATTGGGTTGGAAAGGGAAAAAAAAAAAAATGTCCATTACTTCTTGTCTTGTCACGCCTCAATCACTTCGGCAGTCAACATTGCTGACAATATTAGGCAATACATCCTTATAATCTTTTGATTCCTTATAACCGTTTTGTGTCTAGCTGTCCTTTTTGCTCTCACTGGATTTTAGTGGAAAGTAATGAAAATTTTTCATCATGACATTTCTTGGCCTTATTCTGGTACATCCCTAGTTAATATCTCTGTTGGATCGGATAAACTACTCTTCCATTTTGTCATTTTTTCTTTTTTTTTTTTGGGGGGTGGGGGCGGGGAAGAATTGATAAAGGATTTTTCCTTTTGATTATTGAGAATATCACAATATTTTGAGGAAAATGTCATGCTAAGTAACAATGGAGATGGATAGTAATTTAATCATGCAATTTATTGAAAATGTTTTTTGCTGATTGAGATTTTATTCTTCCAAGCCTGATTTAAGTTAGTTAAGTGACTTTGCAAATCTTGAAATTATAAGGGTCGAGAAAGTCAATGAAAAATGAGAGCTTGATTGGTTTCTAAGGAGGATAGACAGCTTTGTCTTCTTTTTTTGCCCCCTCTCCGTCTTGAGAATGTTTTTGCAGGAAAGAGGATCTTATTTCATTTTACTAACTGGGCCAAGGTCTTTGTTGGGTGGAGTTGTAGGATGTATTTAGGCTTGTAAATCTCGAACTGATCTAAAAATTTTGAGAATCTGACATATTTGTGTAATTATTCGTGTACTTTTATTAATGTCTAGTTTCTATCAGACGCATTCTCAGATTAGTAGTATAAGTTATATTTTGAAACAACAGTTCCTAAATTCCTTATTTATCTGGATGCAGGAAGGAGAGTTTGCTAGTATCTCTGTAAAGAAACTGAGGAAACGGCAGATGCGGAACTTCTTCCTCTGTCTTATGGTTTCCCAAGTAAGAAAGTTTATCATGACCCTCTTGACCAATATTGTATTATCTTATTATATATGGAGGGAGAGAGCTTGCATTGGTGTAAACAATTTATATCACTTTATGTTATACCAAAAATATGCTTTAAAGTTAGTTTTCAAACTATCCACATCCCCCTCTTTTTTCTCCACCATGATTTTAAATACAATAACTTCCTCCAAAGAAAAAGTAGTAATTATAAATTTTTCATATACACATGTACATGTCTTACCATGATATGTAATAACATAATGTGGAAAAACTACAATCATACATATTTTGAAAAAAGCAACCAAAAGCACTAGTTCAAGTTAAAATGGCTTGGCTGTTTACTGGATATCTGAGTTCTTTGATTTCCTCCTGTATCAGCAATTGGCCAACAATCAGCCTGTCCTAACGTAAGATATGTAGATATAGCTGCATTTAGTTTAAGCACTTGTCTTTCCAGCCTGTTATCCAGTTTTGTGCTGGGCTTGCACGTTGCTTGTGTCCTTGGGACCATCTTTTGGTTATCTCTGGCAATTTTTTAATGCAACTATGATTCACTTTTCTGTTTGTCAACCAGGGTGTTCCAATGATCTATATGGGTGATGAGTATGGTCACACTAAAGGAGGAAACAACAACACATATTGCCATGACAATTATGTATAGTGATTTTCTGATATAGAAACTTTTATTCTGTTAACCTTTTGATCTTTATGGACCAACTGTGGCTGTTGCTGTAGATTAATTACTTCCGGTGGGATAAAAAAGAAGAATCCTCATCTGACTTTTTCAGATTTTGCTGCCTTGTAACCAAGTTTCGCCAGTAAGTTCGTGATGTAAATAGTACTTTTTGGTCTATTGCAGCATAAGTGGTTCTAGGTCAGCTCATTTTGTGTTTGCAATTTTTGTAGTGAATGTGAGTCACTTGGCTTGAACAATTTCCCAACAGCAGAGCGGCTGCAGTGGCATGGTCATGCTCCTGGATTACCAGACTGGTCAGAAACAAGCCGATTCGTTGCTTTTACACTGGTTTGTGCTCCTATGGCCATTTAATTGCACCTTATTAACTTTTTTCGTGATCTAGTGTGACTATGTTCACAGCCATCTCCCGAAACTGATGTTCTGTCTATCGTGCTAGCTATTTTCTGGGTTTACATAATTTAGGATGTGTTTGTGTGTGAGAAAAGGATTTGGCTGGTTTAAGTTCCTTAAGCTGGGCTCAAATTGCTGTGTCCTGTTCCTTCAATATGGATCCTGAACTGACCCACAAGGATAGGCCGTTATCCATACACTTTGCCCTTGCTGAATTAAAGAAAATGAACAACTACAAAACTTTCACAGTGTTTTAGTTTCTAAAAACCATCCTGAGTAATTTAAGCTAAGAAAAAGAGACTACCAGTGAATAGCAATAACATTGTATAACTCTCCAATTAGCTCTTGCTGAAATTAAATGGAGGCTTATATCAAAGTTTTCAGTTTGCAGTTATATATGTTTTATTTAACATTATAAATCGAAAGTATAGAGGTAGATAAGATAATGGCTTTAAATCTTTTTAATTGCTTGCCGGGTTGTTAAATTACCGAGTATGTGAGCTCAAGGTTCAGATAATGGCTAAGGGCCTTTGTACCTTGCATCCTAATGAGGATGCATGCATGCTTCCTCCCTCCCTCGCCTTCTCAAGGAAAAAATTAAAAATGAAGAGAAGTACATCAGCTAAAGTTGTTTCATTGGGTCCTAATAGGCAATAGTAATTCAAGGATTGATAGTATGAAAAATTCAAGTTAAAACGGTAGACTCAAACACAAATTTCTTACTTTCCGGTCAATAGTTGGAATTTAATCCTTAAAACTCGTAGATTTCATAGATCAATCATTAGTCTCTGAACTTATTAAATATGAAAGCTCATAAAACTCGAGATTTGGTTCATAGTGTCAAGTGCTACTAAATCGTTGATTTGAGGCTTTATCATCGAGAATTTCCAAAGATGATTTTATTGAGGATTCATATTGAACCGTCACATGATTCTTCTGATGTACAGACTGATTCAGTAAAGGGAGAACTTTATGTTGCCTTCAATGCTAGCCATTTACCCGTCACCATTGCATTGCCAGAACGGCCGGGTTATAGGTGGGAACCCTTGGTGGACGCTGCCAAGCCTGCACCATTTGACTTTCTCTCCAATGATCTTCCAGAGAGAGAAACTGCGATTCAACAGTATGCTCATTTTCTTGATTCCAATCTGTACCCCATGCTTAGTTATTCTTCAGTTATTCTGTTACTATCTTCTGATGATAGTGCTTGAGTCACTCTAAGCTCCTACCTTAAATAGCAACATTGGTAAGTCCTGAGATGCAGTTCCAGGCCCTCAAAATGGGTACATGTATATGGAGAGAGAGTAGTGCTGCAGCTGGAAAAGAAATTAGGTACGTCCAAGTAAGTGGTGTCCGTGTATAATGTTCAGGTGTCCATGAATCTTTATAGCTAATGGATAGATGATGTAGCCAGTGCAGAACTCGTTAATAATTTGACATATAGATGAATGAGATCGTGACCTGCACAATTCGTTTGCAGCACTGGCAGAAAATAAATTGGGGAAAGCATTCAGATGGATGTAAAAATCGAATGGATTGAGACTGATATGTTCCATTTTTTCCCCTATGGATGGAATCTGTTTGGAAATTGAAGAAAACAGTTCTTTAGGGCACTATATTCAAGATATCTACGTTTTTTACTTTTGACCTTTGGGTACTGTTGCTGCCAGAACATACCTCGTTGAACAAAAATTTTTTTTTTTTTCCATTTTTTGAGTATAACATATTATAACTGGCCTTATACTAGGGGGAGGGGGATGAGGATGAATCCACTAAGCTATTGAGAATTCGGAGAGAACTAAACTATCTCGGGAAATATTTTAAGAAATCCTGGATGGAAAATGCAAGCAAGGGTTTTGTTAAAACAAATTAATACACTTATTATGAATCGGATGATGAACTTAAACTGTTCTATTTTTCATGAGAGTTCAAGTTTGTCTAAGTTAACCATTGTCTAACCATAGGATATTTTATATGATCTAGATCAGAAGTACTAGGCTTTCTGCTATTTTCTTGTATTAATTTGTATGAATATGTCTCCGTAATTGGAAACCAATATTTATCAATCTAAAAGTTTTATACTAAGCGGTATGCGACTTGTACACAACAAATATAGATTAAATCATGGTTCATATTTTGTATTTTAAGAATTCCTATGTTTGTATCTATTGCTTCACATATCATTACTTTTAGTAGTTCTGCGTAGGTAAACTCAGGTTAGTGTTTGGATATCAAATTATTTCAAATAATATTTCGCTTGCATCATAAAGACATTTTTCAATTCATCTTTTTATGTTCTCAATCACCTTTTTATCTCACATATATTACATCACAAAAATTGTTACAGTAATTATTCCAAATGATATTTCTAATAATACTCTATCTAAACAAATACTAAGCAGAACAGAAATCGGATAGCTATATATATATATATATATAGACACACAAATACACAAAAACGTGTTTGTGTGTGGTGTTATTATTATTATGTGTTAGAGCACAAACAATTGGAAAGGAAACAATAAATATTCAGACTCCCAAACAACATGAAGTAAATGAAATTTTTTCGACATTCTTGGTAAAGATTCTAAAAAACATATGGTTGCAAAACAGAATCGGTAACAAATATTCGTATTTCATCTCCTCGAATAAAAGGAACTCATCCTTGAAACGCGTCTGCGTATATAGTGCATTCTAGATCAGATATGTTTGATGCTGTGAAATGATAGCATGAATTTCATGTGCTGGGCACATAAAATATTTCAGCAAGCGGATGGATATACTTGGAATTGGCTTGGCGAATCAAAAATTAGATATTAAAAGAAAGAGCTAGCTAATGTTCCTCTCTTAAACCATGCTCCAGTTTTGGGTTAAGAAAATTTTCCTTTTTTTTTTTTTTTTTTTTTTTTTAAGAATGGGGTAAGAAAATTTAGGTCCAGCCAATTTTTTTTTTTTTTTTTTTTTTTGTTTTTTTGGGGTAAGAAAATTTAGGTCCATCGCTTTGTCTAAAGGCTCCAACATGCATAAAAAAAAGAAGGTGTCCGAGGAAATTTTGGAATATCGTGTAAAGAAACATGAATGGCTTGGCTTTCAAGATCGTTCCAGCTACCAAGTTGGACTTGACCTTAACCAAAACTAAGTAATAACTCTTCTTGCATGTTTAATTCTTTATGAAGGCACATTTTTAGGTACAAGTATTGCTCCGTATGTAGGCTTGTCATGATGTGCACTAGCATCAATTATATTTCACCAAGTAAATCATTATATCTGGTAAATTTTGTTCACTTAGTATCTCATGAGCTCTTCAAAAAATTTGTTGGGATAACACAAAATATATAAGCAATTAAATTGCATTACACATTTGCAGTAATAATTTTAAATTTCACAGACAAAAAATTTGTATTATTTGTCACCTACAAATTCTACTTCTCCCGTCCTCTTATATAATGTCCCTACGATGTTGTTTTTCTTATCATTTTTTTTGGAAAGATCGATTTTACCTTTATAATAAAAGTTAAAATGATCTAATTATATTCAAATAAATTATTATTTTTCAATGTTTTTCAAATTTTCAATGACATTGATAAGTCCCCCGCAATTTATGTAAGGAAAATGTTATTTGTAGTCCATTTTTTGTTATTTGCAATCTCACTAGTTGTTTTAACTTATAATCTAATAAATGAAAATTATATGATTAAATTATAGTGAGAATATGATTAGCAAAACATGTGAGTGCAAATAACATTTTCCTTTACATAACTATCATGTAGCAACTCATCTATATGTTTCTATTTTCATAAATTCGTTAGACAAAAGAAAAAGTTTTTAAAGCATAAAACCACTTATCTCTACAAACAATTTTTTTTTACAACAAACATAAATTTATAATTTGCACCCACACATATTGGGCTTTCTTTGTTTGATAGGAAAATCGTGTAAGAAAGTGTGTCGTGGAAAGAGTGAGACAAAAGAAAAGGAAACTAACTTTTCCATATGTATTTGTTTAACAAGAAAATGATGTAAGATTACGGAAAGATTGACGAGTGTATTCATTAATAAAAAATATTCAATATTAAACTTCTTCATTTTTAGTATTTAATATGTGTGCGTGTGTGTCTATATATGTATATTTATATATATGTATATACTTATACATATATATAAAAATAAATAAGAAGTAGCATAAAATGTAAAAGAAAAAAAACACTAATGTCATATAAATTCAACAAATTACCAATTTATTAATTATTGAAATAAGACTAAAATGTCTAATTACAAGGCGGTTGATTGAATTGTATATTCTAAGGTATTCTAGTTTATGTAAAAGTTTAGAACAGAGGAAATAGTTTAGAACGAAAAAAAGTTGTTAAAAAAATCTAATTAGTTGAAATCCATTTGTCCACATATCTTTTCCCTAATCAAACAGCATAATCAACTGTGGGTCCCACACCCAATTCCACAATCCATGTGTCCACGAGTCTTTTCCAAACCTTTACTTAATTAAACACTATTAAGGCCTACTTAACCAATTAAAGAGTCAAAGACCCTCCGGGCCAAATCGTGCAACTTCTGGAGACATCCAAACGCGTCACCGGAAACTTCCCCTGTCCCCTTCGCCCCTCGATAAATCCCACTCCTCTTCTTCCTCCTCTATATACATGCACTAAACACCTAGTGGCAGTGTCCTTTTTTCTCTTGATTCTTCCAATTATCCTGTTCTGGTAGTAGTAAATTTCACTCCGATTTTTGTTTTCCTCTCCAGAAAAAGGTTGAGAAGAAGAACAGAAATACGCCTGAAGGTTTCAATTCAGTTCTGAAGATGAAGAGAAAGGACCTTAACCAAGTTAACGAGGAATTCTCCGATTTCTCCCTTACTTCTCCCGCTCGCAAAATTTGCCGTCTGGTATGATTTCTGTTTCCTCATTTTATATAATTTTTTTTTGTAATTTCCGGAGTTTTTTAGCTGATTATTAATGTGTGTGGTAATGTGGAGTTTTTCCGTTTGAACTAATTAGGATTAAGGTTTTTTTAAATTTATTTTGTGTATATCTTTGTGTAGTCATAAAATTCACCTTCTGGTATGAAGTCTGTTACCTCATTTTTTTTAATCTTATTTTTAATCTTTTCCAGTTACTTATTCATTTATATGGTAGTGTGGAGTTTTTTTGGGTGAACTCATTAGGATTGATCGTTTTGTTTTATTTATTTAGTTTTATTTTTGTGTATAGGATGCTGAATTAGCTCCGATAACAGAAGAAGAGCTTGAGATTCCGTTAGTTTTTGAGTGGCCGGAGAATGAAGGGAGCTTTGGAGGAGGGAATGGCAGAGTTGGAGGAGGAGGGGTTGTGGTTGAAGAGTTGCTGAATGGGGTCGAGAATGAGGAGAGGGCAATTGTGGTTTTTAATCTGGTTAACACACCCCTGTTGCAATCGCCTTTGAATTACTCGATTTCAGTCAGTCCTCGATTGATTTCTGGGTTGAAAAGTGAGTATTAATGCTTGAATACTTGAGTTCGGTGTTATGTATGTTGAGTTTTCTTCTGTGGAGAATTTGTTTGATTAGTGGCCAGAAATAAAAAATGAAAGCAAATTTGGGAAGATGGTGTTGGGTTTGCCACTTGTTAGATTCATGAAGCACCAACCCTAATTGATATGACAGCGTTGCCTTCTCGAGGGAAGTTAAGGATCACCCATCAATGGTCAAAATGAATAATAAAACGGAGGCGTGGCACTGAAGTGCTAGTTTACTACTCTATGGAAGATGTCAAAAAATGTAAATATAAAGTAGGAGAAATGAACGCATCTGTTTAGGGGACTGAGTATTGTGGTACAAGCAGCTCTGTTTCAGGATATATATTTAGAATGATGGTGTTGAGGAGTATTAGGCTTAAGTAGTTTAATGGTTTTCTAGAGCTAGGTCATCTCTAGGTTGATATATTCCTCTGCAATATTTTAGATAGTTCGGATTTTTTTTTCCCATTTCATTATTACAACATGAATATTACTATTGAAATGATTTATAGTATCCCTGTTATTGTGAGAGGGTTGAGCCTGGGGTTCTGAACTTTCATTGTTGGAATGCATTTTTGCATATGGTAGGTAGTGTGTTGCTTTGGATGGAACTTTTAAGTGGTTTAATGACTTGCTTGTTTCCTGGTCTGCTTGTATTACTGTTGCACTCTCTTATTGGAGTAGTATTAATTCGGGGCTTGGACAGAAGGAATTTTGAGCTGACTTAACAGGGGATCAAGTTAGACTGCTTCGTTTTTTATTGAGCATGACAACAGGCATTTTGGAAGGAAAATATCTAGTCACTATATTATGAGTGACCAATTAGTATTTATAGAAGTACAAACCTAACAAACTATTTACAAAAATACCCTTACTAATTTATTATCTACAGAAATACTTATATTCTCTTAACACTCCTCCTCAAGTTGGAGCATATATATCATAAGCACCCAACTTGTTACAAATATATCTCACCCTAGAGCCGCCTAAACTCTTGGTAAATAAATCAGTCAATTGATCTACAGACGGTACATGAGATGTCTTTATAATTCCGTCAAGCAATTTCTCTCGAATGAAATGACAATCAACTTCAATATA